TTTCTACGAAAAATGGTTTTTTCTCCATGGAAAACTTTGAGCGCTTTGAGCACCCCGTAAATATTTTTCGATTTCAAAATAAAAATAGGGGTATATTTCTTTCGATATAGAACAATCCTAGGGGGTGCCGGCATTAAAATTCCAACTTAATTTTTTTGGACCACTCTAATATAGAGTCATCTTCCTGGTTGCTTTTTACCTGGAGTTTCCCATTGTAAAGTTCTAAATAAGCTTGTATGAGCCTCTGATTAGCACGTTAAGCGCAGTTTTTTGCTGAGGCAAACCGGTGATGAAAATAGCGACCTCCTGTTCGTCGAAATGAGGTTGCTGCTTGGCAATGGACACCAACTTGTTCATTTTGAGGTCGAAACGTTGCCCGGTTGGCGAGGTTATGTAGCTTTTTTATGTTAACAGCTACGTCAGCTACTAACGGTGTTCTGTCAGTACGAAGGCATTGCCGCTAGATTTGGCAGGATATTTTGCCGTTTAAAGGCAGCTTGCACTAGAAAAGGCAAGTTGCCGCTAGATCTGGCAGGATCTTTTGCCGCTTAAAGGCAGCTTGCCGCTATAAAAGGCAAGTTGCCGCTAGATCTGGCAGGATCTTTTGCCTTTTTTCATTGGTTTTCCTGCCGATTATGACAAAAGCAGACTGCCAATATAAAAAGCAGTTTGCCGATTAAGTCAAGGCAGGATCGCCATTTAATAAGACGACAATAAATTTGTTGTGGCGCAGTCGAGCGCTTATCGAATAATGTTTTTTATTTATTAATTCTTTCCTAATTTATACAAATTTTAACTTTTTTAATTCTATGTTTTCTTATTTACTATAATACATATTTATTATACTTCTTACATACTAGTCTTACAAACACATGTATGTGCTGCCGACACTTATGCACATACAAATGCACATTGGTTTAGCTTAGCAAAATATGCTTATGGGAGAATGCAGTGTAAGCAGAAATCAAGCATTCCATAATATTTCGTGTGAACCACAATTTGTTTGCATTACCGCACTTTTGGCGCGTGTGGAACTTTGTTATGTAGATATGCATTTCTGATACACTACACAATTTTCTTTTACAAGTTCGGACCACCTGCTTTTATTCATTAGTTTTAGTTCTTTCTATAAATATATAGTGCATGCTACAACGAAAAACATGTAACTCAACGCTTCAGAGTACAACTCCACTACAAGATTTTCAGGTGGTCGGCACTTTTCAGGCTTTCGGCAATAGCTGAATTGTGTAGCTGTAAGCCTGAAATTGCGGAACGTCGAAAAATCTCGCTCTGAAGTTGTACTCTTAGCCTTTGTACAAGATTTATCATAATTCGACGAAGTTCAAAAAAGGTAATCGTAAAATCAAACTTTTTAATTGTAATTTCTATTATAACATTGTTCAAGTTTGAAAGAGCTGAAGAATATCTTTGATTTTTGAATTTTTTTTTCGTTGACGATGTTAAGCGTTTTCTTCCATACTTTGTATTGAAGAAAACGCTTAACATGGTAAGCGAAAAAAATTCTCAAAAATCAATGCAATAATTCAAACGTGCACAATTTTATACTAATACGATTTACAAACGGGATCGATTATAGAATGAAAATGAGTTTTGTGTGGAGTTTTGAAAGCGTTCAATCAGACTGCGAAAATGTTGATTAAAATCTGAAGATTATGAAAAGGTACAAGTTTTTACCAAAACTTTGGGCTACCGTCCTTCCTTGAGCGCAATTTCGAAGAATATTTCTGGACAAGTCCAGTTGCCCCGCACATAATAATAACAATAATAATAGATTGGCGCTTACACATATGTTAGCGTTTGGCCGAGCTTCTCCTCCGACTTGTGGCGTGCGCCACACAAGCGGAGGGACCTACAGTTTTACGCCGACTCCGAACGGTGATTGTATTTTTACGAGAAGCTGTTTTTCATGACAGAAATACACTCGGAGGTTTGCCATTGCCTGCCGAGGGACGACCGCTGTTAAGAAAAAACCTTTTTCTATATTTTTTTTGCGATGTTGCCTTGACCAGGGGTTGAACCCAGGTGCTAATGAGTGAAAGCGCGCACTGCTTACTGCCCCGCGTATATTCCGCAATAATATATTTTTGTTTTTTTTTTGGCCGTGGTACGGCCCCTGTATAAGGATTGAATCAATTGAGTGTGCATTCACATTTGATTCATTTAAAAAATGTGATTGCTTAATTTTAAAAATTTAACAACCAGTCTTGATATTGGTAACAAATTGTAAACACAAAATATGTAGTGTGTTATGGAGTGGTTGAGACACATTCACATAGAGTAGAGATGGGAAAACTCAGCACATTTGTACTGTGCTGGCAGCGTGAACTTTTGCGGGCTACAGGGGCTAGATGAAGAGGGATGCCAAAGCTCGAGGAAAGAAGGAAAGCTTGAGCAAGTTGCATCTGTGTATGTAACCGGAATACGAGGGAAAAGGGGGGGTTAAACAACACAAACGGCAATAACGCAAATTTGTGTTATTTCCCAATTGAATGTGAAATAACACAAATTTGCTTTATTTCATTTCTAGTTGAGCAATAAGACCAACTTTTAAACTTAACAGTTGAGTAATAAAGCAAAATAGTGCACATCCTCCTCCTTTCGCAATTATGCACTGGTGGCATTATAATCGTTTAGAAAAAAGAATAATAATAAAATTACACTAGCTCACTTCTGAAACTACTTTTTAATGCCCAAGTAATGAGAGTTATTGCGTATGGTGTTATTGCATGCACTGCACCCATGGTGGAATTATACCAGGTGAAGTAATATTAGAGTGAGAAGAAAGATTTTGACTCTGCTTTATTTGAAAGTTGGCCTATAAATTGTGCCTATAAGGCAGCCGAATGTCAAAACATAAGGCGAGAATTCTGTTTTATTACTTCGCCTATTTATTGCCTCATGGTTCCATGCAAAGATTTTAAAGTTTACCAGCAATATTTTTAACATATTTAAAAGCATGCAGACAAAATTTATACAAAAGCGCTATGTCCAATTTGGCGAGCAGTTATTAAAGACGACGCTTTCCCTTTGCTAGACTTTTCATAAGTAAAAATATTTGTTTAATTGTATTTTTGGAATAAACAAAGTTCTTTTCCCTTCTATCAGTAAACTGGTTTTGTTACAAATAGTGGAAATAAGCAATGGCAAATAAGGCAAAATTTGTTTTATCTCCAACCTTTGTTGGAAATAAAGCTAAACTGAGATTTTGGTATTATTTCCCATTTAAAAGTGAAATAAAGCAAATTTTACGTTATTGCCGTTTGTGTTATTTTAAAAGTGAACGAAGACCACAGCCATTCACAACAATACATTTCTCGGGCGTATGAAAATTGTAATATGATACGCTTGCAAACGTTTATCGTCTAACGTATGAAAATTCATAATAGGGGGGTGAGGCATCTTTTTTTAAATTAAAACAAGCTATAAGTATACCTACATACGATGCAATATTTTAATAAATACAGCAGAAAAGTAGCGCGCCGCATATTAAAAAAAGTACTGCTAATACAAAGAATTTAGATTATTATAAATTACACAGAGTGACACGGACTCTTCTACGAGTAAAACTATCAACGAATTTCTCCAACGAAAAACGTATATCTACTTAAAAAAATATGACATTTTAAGGACCAAAAAGTATACATAAACTATTTCAATAGAATTAAAAACAATTTCTTTATTGCATAAAAATTAAATAGATTAAAATTCCCTGAGAAAAGCGGCTAATTCCCTTGTTCCCAACCCAACAAGCCAGCGTAAGCTGAAAGTGAGAATGTATTATTGTTCATAACCCTGCTAGTAAAAACTTCTTGCTTTTTATATGGCGGGACCAAAATCGGAATGAGACAGTGAACAACGTTCGAATAAGATACGAAAAAAGTTCGAAAGTTCCCCGCTAATGATGCGTTTACGAAAATTCGAGAACAAAACTTTGACTTCCACAAACGTAGTGACGCGTTGTGGGAAAATGTTCCGAACAATTTTTGTTAGCGATTATCGATTTTAATAGTTTGGTCCACAAAACATCTGTTTACGGATTGGTTTGAGGATATTTGGTCGGCTGGGTATGCCAAATGCGCGAGCACCATTACATTTACAAGCAGACTTTATTCGCTAGTCTCGTTAGGTCACGCCCTTAATTACAGTTGACCGATTGTGGCGAGAGCACATGTTTAAATCCCCAAAAAAAACGTCAACAATCGCCCACTGAAAATTTATTTTTTGCATGCAGTGGCAGTTTGCTGATTCGAAACGTGTAGATATGTGTAGGCCAAATAATCAATTAATTGCAGATTGTACCATATATTTTGCCATTATTGCACTTCTTTAATCCGATTTTTGTCATATATATATGCTATATGTAGTACATATTTACATAATTTGATTTATTTCTTAACACTACAGGTTAACAAAGATTTTGTAGCTGAACATTTCACTGCCTTATTAGGCGCTTAACACTAGATAACACGAAATAGAAGACGAACCTTTAAAGTTTTTAAATTAGATTTGTTATTTATTATAGATAATGGTGAACAATATCCGGGGTCGAATTTGGAGAACGAGACGTCCGCTTTGGTTTACAAATGAAATAGTTATTATGATGAGAAAAGTGAAAAAGATGACATTTGTTTTTATGTGTGTGTGGGATATGAATATAAAGATATGTATGTATAAAGCGTTGACATACATACATATATGGTGAACTGTGAGCTGTTAACATGTGTGGTTAGGTGTGTAGTGAGCGGACGCCAGGATCATTCACAGTGGCCGGAAGTGGTCATTTAAACATCTGCGAGAGTGCAGAGAGGGGCCGTGACTCGAGAACGGCTTGTTTTCGGGCTAGTTATTGCAGTGCATTCTTTAAATTTTACTGTGTTATTGCCAGTGATTTTTTTTATTTACTTACGTTTTTACGTGAGGTAGGACTTAAACCTTTTATTGCCAATTATCATCCGAATTTATGACATGGACTGTGTTTACGCGGGGGTTTGGTAGATAACTGACGCTCTGGTGTCCCAGAGCCTTTATTTATAACAAAAACTCTTAACCTACACATACACAATTCTTACCCTAACCATAGTATATCTAAAACATGTGTGTTGCACTACACATGTAGTAGGTATGTATAACTTATCTAGAAAAACACTTAAACCGACAGTGCCAGGAAGTAATAAAAATAGTATACGGTTTCACTTGCATTTTAAGCCAATCGCATTTCATAACATTTAAGAAATGCATACGTGACTATTCCCATACACCCTGGCACTGAATTGTAATGTCTATAATTGCCAACTAAACAACCCTTAGGTCATGTTGTGCGCATGTGCACTATGTATGTATGTGTACAATGCCGTTGCACGTGCGCACAATTGCTACTTTCTATTGTTCTACTTATCGGCCTTACAATCGTTACCACATGCTGAGGACATGCGCATCCTAAATGTGTGCCCTATGAGTGTGCGTAACTAATCTTAAGACTTGTGCAACAAGACTTAACATATTGCCCACGTTGAAAGTATTTACTTTCAAAAAAGGTGAACTATTTCTTATTCAAATAGGAGTTGTGAGGAATCCACTCAATATTCAACCTACTGTACTTATATTTATGTACTTATTTATTCTTATCGACTATTCTATTATCTAAGGGCCAGAGCAGCGGGAAGATATCGTGTTGAGAGACCACATAGCTTCCGAAAGATGACGATCATTCCCATGATGACTCCTGCGATAATGATCCAAGTTGATATATTCGAGCTGTAGTGCATCAGGTGGTGGAAATCGATGTCTTCTGAGAAATCAACAATGGCTGGTGGCCGCGGAATGTCCGGAATCGAGTATGTCAACATAGTCCCTTTTATAGTAATGTGCTTCATGAGCGGTAAACTCCTGCTCATATTAATTGGGGGCATATTGTACTGAATAACAGTGGTTGGTGCCTTGTGTGCCCAAACGCTTACTATCGCGGTTGTTAAGTGGCAGCCAGGTTGCAGTTTTACAATGCCTTGCTCAACTAAAATATGTGCCGTATAAGAGCTGCCGCAACTGACTTCTGCCTTTGTGTCTTCAGGGACGGAGTACAGCCAGCTATTTGAGGATTTAAGCTGCAACCAAACTTCTTGCAGAGGCATTATATTCACCACACATGATAATGGTAATTGCTTCGAATTAAAGAATAGCTCTAGTTCGCACGACTGGTCCTTTCTTACATTGTAGAGTGGTCCAATTTGGGGACACAGCGTGATTCTTCTCATTTTCTGGCAATACGAATATTTAGTTTCTGTCAGGCTACTATACATTGATTTCTCCTTATTTACTACCAGATATTCATATGCGAGTTTAAAGCTCACGAAGTAGCCGTCGTGCAGAATCGGATAACTGGTCAATGCAAATAACTGTAGCTGTTGGCTTTGTATAAGTGGTATTTGAATTCGCACTAAACAGAAGCCTTGGTTTATAGTGGCTGTGACCCGTGATATTTTTGATAGCTCAAACGGGTCGGTATCTGGCAATTGTAAGTCATCATTTAAATTTGCCGTAATTGTTGCTATTTGGGTTTGGAATCTGTCGATAGGTAAAATCCTTTTCATGAAATTTCCCTTTGAGTTCCAAATCAAATCCGTAATATCTCCTTGCAGTTGCTCTATTGACTCTATTGCAATGTTAATGCTTGCTATATAGTTTTGAAAGCCTTCCATTGCTAATTCATTTTCAGCCGCTTTCTTTATTATTTGTATGGAGTCCGATATTTGGTTAAAATTATTTCGAACAACTTCATTTTGTTTCTTCAAAACCTCTTGCGTTATGTCTTCAATGGAGGATTGATTCTGGTATAGCTTAAGCAAGTATTCTTCATTTTTATGGGTCCTTTTTATTGTCGCCACCAATTCATCTGCGTGTTCTTCATCCATTAGACCAAACACTGAATGATACACGCTTCCAACGAATGGCAGTATAGACCTAGATGCTCTATTTCTTCCATTAAATCTCATCAGTGCATCCTTTTGGTTGACTTCTTTAATGCGATGAATGACCTGATTAACTAAGGTCTCAACTACCTTTTGAGATTCTGAGTCTCCCTTGTCCAGTAGCTTGGCGAGTTTTTGTAGAGCCGAGGGTGTTCCCATTAGAAGCTGTATTTGGTGCTGATAATCCGTCATGTTCACGTGGATGATTATTTCCCATGATGTCTTCGTCAAACCCAAACTGTCTTGCCTCTCTATTAATATCCCTGACTTGTCCCTAAATTTTTCTATAATTACTTGACAATTGTAGAGTGGTAGTACTAATAAAAAGGTTAACATCGTCATTAGAACATTTTTATTTTTATGCCTTACATTCCTATTCTTATGGGATTCCTCATTTTTACTTATATTTCTTTCCGTTTCCGTAGGAAAAGGACAAACATTGGTTATTGATCTTTTTGTCATTCCAGTGCTGGTCCTTACGTCTACCATCCTGCATTTTCCATCTTTTCCGATGATGAGGTTCTCAACCCTGCCCCTTCTCCAAGTCATTGTTGGAAGATTTTCTTCCTTAAGGAGAACTAAACTCCCTTGGGGTAAGTTATCTTGTGGCCTTTGCCACTTGACTCTTTTCTGAAGTTCGCTTAGGTACTCCAGTGACCAGCGCTTCCAAAATTCCTTTGAATTTCTTTCCACTGCTTTCCAGTGGTCCCGCACCCCGTGATAACAATGGTTTTCACTACTGTCTGCAAGTGTGGTTAAAGTCTCCCCTATAAGAAAATGACTTGGAGTTAAAACCTGGAAGTCATTCGGATCCTCCGATAATGGTGTTAGAGGTCGTGAATTCAATACTGCTTCTATCTGGGTCATGAGTGTGCACATCTCTTCAAAGGTCAATGTGCCTTCAACTACTCTGTGAAAATGCTTCTTAACCGATTTAACAGCAGCTTCCCATAACCCTCCTACGTGTGGAGATCGAGCTGGTATATTCACCCAATTAATGCTGTGTACAGCACAGAACGAGGAGACTTCTTTTCCGAGTTGCTCCTTTTGAAATAATATATAAATTTCATGTAAACTATTTGCTGCCCCAATGAAATTTGTTCCGTTGTCGGAGTATATTTTTGCAGGACAACCACGTCTTCCCACAAATCTTTTTAAGGCTCCTATAAAAGCTGCTGAGCTTAGACCTGATACCACTTCTAGGTGAACTGCCTTTGTGCTGAAACACACAAATACACACACATAGGCTTTATCTACTCGTTTGCCTCTTATTTTGTGGTGAATTTGTATAGGACCCAAGAAATCAACCCCAGTATTCAAGAAGGGCCTGGTGCATCTTACTCTATCTGCTGGTAAATTACCCATGATTTGAAAAAGGGGACGAGGATTTGCCCTGAAGCATCTATAGCAATTGTTAACAATTCTTTTTGTGAGTTGCCTGCCCCTTAAAGGCCAAAACTTCTGCCTAACTATTGCGAGAAGGCCTTGCGGTCCTATATGTAAATGTTTTTGATGGATTCCCTCCACCAAAATTTTAACTAAAGTGTCTTCATATGGAAGTACTGCAGGATGTTTTGCTTCTTCTGGAATATTGCCTTCTTGTAGACGTCCTCCAACTCTAATGATGCCATTTTTGTCCAAAAATGGTGATAGAGTTATCAGCTTCGAGCTCTTTTCTAAATTTTTGTTACCTGAAAGGAGACTTAGTTCTTTGTTAAAATATTTAGTTTGTATATATTTCAAAATAAAATTCAAAGCTTCTTTTCGATAATATAAGTGATTCTGAATTTCGAGTTCTTTCTTAGGACGCTTTAATGTAATATCTTTAAATTTGATAAGCAAAGCAACCACATTTAATAAGAATTCAAAATTATTTTTGTGGTCAATTGAATCAATTAAAGAGCAATTCCTTACCAAAACACCTGCTGTTATAGCAGTTTTCTTTATATCTGGAAGCGATGTTAAAGGCTTTGTGACAATTTTTTTTCTGTATGACTCCATGTTAGCTAAGTGCATTGGTCCATTAAACCACAGACTATTATTAATTATTTCTTCTGGATATAACCCTCTTGTTATTAAATCAGCTGGGTTTGATTTTGTGTCAATATGTCTCCATTGCCGCCCTTTGGTTTGCACCTGAATAAAGTTTACCCTATTCGACACAAATATTTGCAATTTTGCAGGATCTAATTGTAGCCAACTAAGGACGATTGTTGAATCCGTATAATAAATATGCTTGTCTTTTAGATTAAGTGCTTTTGATACTTTTTCCATTAATTTTACTAACAGTACCGCAGCACATAGTTCTAATCGAGGTAACGTCTGAATTTTTAATGGGGCGACTTTCGATTTGGAAGCTAATAGATTTATTTTAATATTTCCCGATTTGTCTACTGATTTTACATATACCACAGCGCCATAGGCTCTCATGGATGCATCTGAGTATCCGTGTAATTCTATTTCTTTTGCATCAGGTAATAATGCGTATCTGGGAAGATTTATTTCATTCAATAATTTCATTTGATTTCTTAAATGTACCCAGGATCGCATGGTTTCTCCTGTAACGGCTTGATCCCAGTCGATTTTTTCTTTCCATATTTGTTGTAGTATCAATTTTGCCACCACTACAACTGGACTCAAAAGACCTAAAGGATCAAATAGTTTCGCAATATCAGAAAGTATTTGGCGCTTTGTAATTTTGTAGTCAGTTTTTAAATAAGATTTTATTGAGATATCATCTTTAGTTGGATTCCAAGCGATTCCTAGGGCTTTTATATTCTCAGCTTTATTAGATGTTATATCTAATTTAATTTCTCGATCTTCGCTAGGAATTTCGTTCAACAAACTAGGATGATTAGCACACCATTTTCTCAATTTGAATCCATATCAATTTAATATATGAATTATTTGTTGCTGCATATTTTTTAGCTCAGTTAGATTATCACAACCTGTCATCAAATCGTCCATATAAAAGTCTGACTGAATGCATTGTGAAGCTGTTGGAAATTTATCTTTATTATCTTCTGCTGCTGTTTGTAGACATTTTACTGCTAAGTAAGGTGCACTCGCAGTGCCATAAGTAACAGTTTTTAATCTGTATGTCTTTAGGGCCTCCGATGGCTTCCACCTCCAGTAAATTAGTTGGAAATTTTGATGTTCTTCGTTTACCCAAATTTGTCTGAACATTTTCTCACTGTCTGCTGATATTACAAATTTGTGTGTTCTGAAACGCATCAGAATATCAAATAAATCATCTTTTAGCCTTGGCCCCGTATGTAATAAATTATTTAATGATATATTTGTAGTAGTTTTTGCAGATGCATCAAAAACTACTCTCAATTTTGTAGAAGTGCTATCTGGCTTCAGTACATAATGATGAGGTAAATAACATTTGAACTGAAGTTGGTTTGGAGTGGCTAGAGCCTCCATTTGATTTAATTTTATATACTCCTTCATAAATTCATGATACTGTGACTTTACTTCATAGTTTTTCTCCAATTTCTTTTCCATAGCTAAGAACCTTCTTTTAGCAGTAATCTCTGAATTTCCTAATTGTTTAATATCTCCTTTAAAGGGGAGGTTTACTCCGAACTTCCCATCCACTTTTCTGGTTGTGGTTTTTGTAAAAATAGTTTGACAGTCTTCCTCCTCCTTTGAAAATTTTTTGTCTTTTTCCATATCTTCCTCAATTTCCCAAAACTGTTTTATTTGGCTTTCTATTGAGGGCTCGGAAAAAGAGGCCAAACTGCAAATGTATGGGGTTCTATTAATCATTGCAGCTCCTGTAATAACCCAACCCAATTTGGTTTTGTGGGCTATTAAATTATTTTCATTCAATGAAATTTTTTCTCCTTCAAAGAGATCCCCATAGGTTAATTCGTAACCTATTAATATGTCCACTTCCTTAGGAACATTAAAATTTGGATCAGCTAATTCAATGTTATTTGGAATCTTTTTAATAATGGCTTTTTCTGCCGGCAATTTGGACATTAATTCCTGCGCTATTAGTACGTCTAGATTTGTTTCGAAATTGCTCATATGCATTCTGGACTTAATTTTTATATTTACCCGTTCTTCAATTTTTGAACGTGTTTTGCCAACACCTTCTATCGCTGCCGATTTAATTGCTTCGCCCTTAAGTCTTAATTTCTTTAGGAACGATTTTGACATCAAATTTACTTGAGAGCCGCTATCAAGAAGCGCTCTGCCTTTGATCCATTTGCCTTTGGCATCTTGGATATAAACAACCGCTGTAGCTAACAAAATGCATTTTTCTGAATTTTCGCATCCTTGCTTAATGGTACTTTTTGTCACTGCACCTTTTTCATTACTAACTTTGTGTAAGAATGTGCTATGACCTTCATTACATATACGACAATTATACCCATTGCAATTTTTACTCGAATGTCCATTTTTTAAACATTTCGAGCATAAGTTATTTTTTCTAACCTTTTCCCATTTTTCTTTAATGGTAAGGTCTTTAAATTTTGTGCATTGAAAAAGGAAATGTCGATTATTACATCCCATGATGCATTCGATTTCCTTTTTGTTTGCCAATTCTTTAATATGGTCATCCCATTTGGATGACCCATCCTTTTTTGATGATTTTTGTACTGCTTGCAGTGCATAAAACTCATGATTTAAAAATTTCACCAATGAGTCAACAATGGGTATTTCTCGTGAGTTCTGAAGTGAAGTTTCATACTTCAATCTTAAATCATTACTCATTTTTCGTACTAAAATGAAACTTAAAAGGCCTTGCAGTATACTTTCAGAACTCAATTTTGTTGCTTTTAGAGCTTGCAAATTTTCCTCAATCACTTCTTTCAATCGTTTTACACTTTCTAGATTTTCAGTCGTATAGGGTGCCCCCATTATGTTCGAAAAATGAATGGCAGTTTGCGCTCTCAAGTTGGTATATTTATTATCCAAGAGGTTCCAAGCAATTGGATAGTTTTCTGCATTTGCTGGTAGGTTCGCGATCGTCATTGCCGCTTCCCCTCTTAGCTTTGATTTCAAGCAAATCATTTTCTGTGTATCCGAGATACTGGCTGAACCTATTAATTGGGAAAACAATTCTCTAAACGTGTTCCACTGAATATAGTCTCCAGAGAATACCGGAATATCTATTTTTGGCAGTGTGTAGGGCAGATTTTCATTCTGCGTTTTTTTATCTTCAGGAGCGAAGTCCAAAGCCTCATCGAGTTTAAAACTTACGTTGAGAAATAAATCTTCTAAACAATTCTCGTCACATTCTCCTAAATAATTGCGATACATCATTTTAGCTTCTTTGGCACTTTCCAGAAGGAAGACTTTTGGAATCTTATTTCCCAAAAATTTGTCAATAGTCTTGCTAAGATCTTCTAAAACGAACTTTAATTGCCGTTCTGATTTTGAAATCATGGGAGCTGTAGCGATTGAACCTAAGGTGTGACTAGATGTAGGTGGCTGAGGTGCTGGTCGTGAGGCTATCACTCCCGCTGCTTGCAAACTATCTTTTAGTGCTTTAGCTTCCATTTCCATGGTCAAAATTAGAGTTGAGGTATTATTGAAAAATCCCCTAATTTGCTCTGCATGGTTATCTTTAAAATAAGGGTTTCTCTTTAGGGTTGAAGAGGCCTCTTTGAGGATACACTCGTTCTCCTCAAATTGCCTAGACAGATCGGTTACTACACCCCTCCAACGTTGGATCTGTCCCTCTTCAATATTTTGCCCCCTAAAATTTTTTATTTCCTCATACAGAGCAGAGATTCTGCTTGCAATGGTTTGATTTTCGTTAAGCGCAGAATCCATTGCTTTTAAATTTTTTTTATTAAGGATTTAATACACACAAAAAACTATGTAGATAAAAGACTAAGAGTATATATGTATGAATATATTAATACTTACCACTACTCTTATACTGCCAATTTTAATTTGAAACAAAAAAAATTTCACTTTTCAAAAAAACTCACTTAGGGTCACCAACTGTTTACGCGGGGGTTTGGTAGATAACTGACGCTCTGGTGTCCCAGAGCCTTTATTTATAACAAAAACTCTTAACCTACACATACACAATTCTTACCCTAACCATAGTATATCTAAAACATGTGTGTTGCACTACACATGTAGTAGGTATGTATAACTTATCTAGAAAAACACTTAAACCGACAGTGCCAGGAAGTAATAAAAATAGTATACGGTTTCACTTGCATTTTAAGCCAATCGCATTTCATAACATTTAAGAAATGCATACGTGACTATTCCCATACACCCTGGCACTGAATTGTAATGTCTATAATTGCCAACTAAACAACCCTTAGGTCATGTTGTGCGCATGTGCACTATGTATGTATGTGTACAATGCCGTTGCACGTGCGCACAATTGCTACTTTCTATTGTTCTACTTATCGGCCTTACAATCGTTACCACATGCTGAGGACATGCGCATCCTAGATGTGTGCCCTATGAGTGTGCGTAACTAATCTTAAGACTTGTGCAACAAGACTTAACAGACTGGCTTTGGCGTTAAACTGTCCATCACTGACAGGCCAACCTAATATTACCGGCGTGTATTTTTCTACGCACGCACGCAAGTTTTTCACATTTGAGTAACCAAAATAAATTTGCGTGCGTGATATTTCAGAGTTGCATTTCTGTCACGCCAAATCGAAATATAACGCAACACAAATCTTGGAATTTGAGTTAGCTTTTTACGCACGCCGTCAATTTCGGTTGGTCCCATACAAGTTATATGTGCATGGGAAATTTTTGACAGTAAACTGGCGGTTTGCGTGAATATTAGGTTGGCCTGTGATTTGGGGATATTGCTTTAGAGGATTTTGGCGGGGCTTCTGTGTAAAACTTTTTAAATTTATTACTCATTTGCTAATTGAGCTGCGGCAATGGTTTCAATTACCGAAATTTAAATATTTTTATATTATTATTATTTATGGATCAAGAAGCCTTTTTTCTGATTAAACGAAAGCACAAATATGTACGTGGAATGTGGGCTATGTATAAAAGCAGTCAACGGCGACTTGCTAAAAATAACCAACCTACCGAAAATGGCGAGAATAAAAACGCGACCAATCTTCTTCAACGAAACGATTTACAATACTTTATTAGCCTTGATGTTAGTTACTTATTAGCGACTCATATTTAGTACGAACAAATGAGAGAAAATCAGAGTGATTATGAGTGGAATTATGATTGGTTTACAATGTAGGTATATATATGTATATGTGTGTATGTAACTAAAATCGAACGCATGTTTGCAGTGAGGACCAGATGAGCCTACTTAAACTAGGCTTTTATCCGGCATTTGAGTCGATCACATAGGGTGACCCAATATCCCGGCCCCGTTGAAAGGATCTCCAGCATTGTGGTGGGAGGTTGTCATCATGAATAATTACTAAAGTCCCTTTTGCGAGATTAGGCGAGGGTGCTGTCCACTTCCCACGGGAGCGTAGTTCGTTTACGTAGTCCGCGGACCAACGATGCCAAAAGCGTTGCTTTATGAAGGTGATCATGTTGTAACGGTCAAGATGCGAAATAGATTTCTGCTCTATTGAACGATCAGGCAGGGCACGCAGTGAGTCTCCTACTAAAAAATGACCAGCCGTCAGTGAACCAAAGTCGTTTGGATCTGATGACATCGGAGAAAGTGGGCGCGAGTTTAGGATGGCCCCTACTTCTATAGCGCCAGTGCTCAGCTCT